GGGTGGATTAGATGACCTTTAAAAGTCCCTTCCAACCCAAACCGGTGTGTGATTCCATGATTTTGAAGAGCAAACACCTGGTGGCAGTTCACAGCCCCCCCCCCCCCACAGGAACAATCCTCAAGGCATTTCAGGGGAGGGGAGGGAAAGAAAACAGCCATTCCGTGTGTTTTGTCCTGATTTATTGTGGTTGTTACCTCGGTGACATTCATTTGTCAGATGCAATTTGCTCATTCCAACAGCCTTTGGACGTCGTGCAGCAAAAACTGCCCCCTCAGAGCCCAGCTCAGCCCCTGGGACTGACCCCACTGCCCCCAACAGCTGCTCCTGCCCACAGCATTCACCCCCCTCAGCCCAACCACCGCCAGTGCTTCACGTTCTCCCTGTCTCCAAACTCAGTTCTCCGTACAGAGCTTTGCAATCATTTTTGTTCCCCCACTGGGAGAAATCCCGAGGAGTTCCCAGGGGGAGCAGACGGGTTACGAGGAGCCCGCAGAGACTCCGAGCCACGTTGGCTGTTCCTCTGCTGGAAGCGGAATAGAGCGCGTTCATCAGATACAAATCACTGGCTGAGCAGCTAAAAGGGATTGATAAAGGCCACAAAGCCCCCCTCGGAGGAGGAGGAGGAGGGGGTGTAGGATTTGTTAGTGCATCGAGGTGGCATCGCCGGGCACGGGACGGGCGCCGCTCCCGGGGCCGGGGCCCCTTTACTGGGGGTAAAGCTCCACGATCATCGCGTGGCCCTGGAAGGGGAGAGAGGGAGAACATCAAAGGAATGATTAATTATGAGAGAAAAGACTCATCATTACAGACACGGCCCAGGGCTCCCAGCCACAGCACCGGGAAGGGGAGTCACAGGCTGGACACGATCCCGGCTGTGCCCAGGGGGGCACGAGGCCAATGGCCCCGGGGCTGTGCCAGCACTGCTGGGGCAGCAGGGCCAGGGCAGTGCCCTCCCTGTGCTGGCACTGCTGGGGCACCTCCAGTGCTGGGGCAGCTCTGGGACCTCAGACAGGAGACACAGGGAGGGGCTGGAGCGTGTGCAGGGAAGGGAAGGGAGCTGGGAAGGGGCTGGAGCAGCAGGAATATCTGAGGAAGCTGGGGGGGCTCATCCCAGAGAAAAGAGGGATCAGGAGGGACCTTCTGGCTCTGCAACCCCCTGAGAGGAGGGGGGAGCCGGGGGGGTGTCGGGCTCTGCTCCCAGGGAACAAGGGCCAGCCCTGGGTGGTGACGGGGGGGACAGCCAGATGTGCCCAGGGAGTTGTGACCACCCCGTGCCCTCGAGGATTCCACAGCCCCGGATTCCACGGATTCCACAGCCCCAGCAGGACCGGCCACGCAATCCCCGCCCCTCTCCCGCGGGATCAGTGCCCCAGCACGGCACCATTACCTGTCCCCCCGCGGCACAGGCGGCCACCAGGCCGAACTGACCC